GATGTGGGGTTTCAGTGGGTTCTGGCGCACATGGGTGTGGAGGAAAATCACTCACACAAGCAACAGACGAGCAATACTAAGAAACCCAAATTTCTCTCTAACCTAACACATGGTTCTCTCTAGACAACATAACAATATGCAAACTGATCACTGGTTCACAGCCACCATGAACGTCTCGGGTTACGTATGTAACCCTGGTTCCCCGAGAAGGGGAACGAGACACTGCGTCGGTTATGACACTATGGGAACGCCTCTAGGCGAAGCAGGTCTGAACGTGAATGAAATCACTCCAATCCTATTGGCTTGTTGCTAGAACGGTAAGGTGTGACGGAATAACCGGAGGAGTATAAAGCACACCTGTACACACTCATCATTAGCTTAACTATGAAGCAGGCGCTTCAGGCGGGGAGAGAGGTGCGGCGGGCCGACGCAGTGTCTCGTTCCCCTTCTCGGGGAACCAGGGTTACATACGTAACCCGAGACGTTCCCCTTCGAGGGAACTCGAACTGCGTCGGTTACGACACTATGGGAACGAGATACCCACTAAACCGTGCAACCTGCCCCTGTGTGCAATAAAGTGGCACGACTAAGAGGGGAGCGCACGAGTGCCAGGTGCCGAAGGAAGGTCAAGACTGTAAAACCGAATGAATGTGTGCGGAACATTCTAAACAAACATCCTGCAAGAGGCCCCGGAAAGGAGGGCTCGAGAGGCTGCCATGCCTCTGGTAGAATGAGCCCTCACAGCCACAGGTGAAGGCAAACCGCGCACCTGATAGGCCAGGGAAATAGTCTGAACAATCCAGTTGCTAATAGTATGTTTGGATGCAGGGAGCCCGGCCCTGGGAGACCCAAAACACACTAGCAGCTGGTCAGCCTTCCACCATCGGGAGGACCTCAGAGTGTAAATACTCAGTGCTCTGACAGGGCAGAGCAGATGAAGTCTCCCGTCCTCCGCCGTCACATGAGGTGGAGGATGAAATGCCTGCCGCACTGTGGACCCTGCCGCACAAGAAGGCACTTTAGGGATGTATCCTGAATGAGGGTGCAGGATAGCCCTAATATTCCCCGGGGCAAACTCCAGGCTTTGCGGGGAAACCGAAAGCGCTTGGAGATCCCCCACCCTCCTCAGAGAGGTGATAACAAGGAGAAAGGCCATCTTGAGGGTCAAGTGCTTAGCCTCAGCTGACTCCAGGGGTTTGAAGGGGGCCTCAGCCAACGCCCCAAGAACCACTGCCAGATCCCAAGTGGGAACCTTGGACCGAGTCGCAGGTCTCATCCTCCGGGCACCACGGAGGAAACGTACAACCAAGGGAAGTTTCCCCAAGGACCCCTCCCTCAGAGGGGTGTGGAAAATAGCTGCCACGTACACCTTGAGGGTGAAAGGGGAAAGACCAGCAGAGAACCGGTCCTGGAGGAACTCAAGTACCTGAACCACCGGGCAGGTAACAGGGTCCACCGACCGCTCCCTACACCAAGTGGAGAAAACACTCCACTTCAGGCCGTACATCCTCCGTGTGGACGGGGCCCTGGAGCTCAGGAGGGTCTCGACTGCTCCGGCTGTTAGACCCGCCTCTAGGTACTGTGCCCCCTCAGGGGCCAGACCCACAGTCGCCATATGGCGGGGCAAGGGTGAAGAACCCGGCCCTGCGCCTGGGACAGCAGGTCTCTCCTCAGAGGGACCCCCACGGCGGGCCGTCCAGTAGCGACATGATGTCCGAGAACCACACCCGGGTTGGCCAGAACGGGGCTACGAGCAGTAGGCCGACATTGTCCTGGCGGACCTGCTCCAGAACCCCGGGAGCAGAGCGACTGGGGGAAAGGCGTACAGACGTAGCCTCGGCCACGAATGTACCATGGCGTCCAGACCCAACGGGGCTGGAGGAACGAGAGAAACCATAGCGGGCAGTGCGTAGTCTCTTGAGACGCAAACAGATCCATGTCTATGGGGCCGAACTCTTCGCACAAGAGCTCCACCACTTCGGGGTGAAGTCTCCATTCCCCGGGCCTCAGCCCCTGCCTCGACAGCAGGTCTGCTCCCTGATTCTGCGTCCCCGGGAGATACATCGCCCTGAGCGATAGTAACATCTGCTGGGACCACAGGAGGATCTGATGCGCCAGTCTGTCCAGAGGGCGCGAGCGCAGACCGCCCTGGTGATTCAGATAGGCCACCACCGCTGTGTTGTTCTCTTCGGAACGAACCAGGACGTGGTGGCCTTGGAGATCGGGCAGGAAACTCCTTAGAGCCTGGAACACCGCCAACATCTCGAGACAGTTGATATGCCACTCGGATTGATGCACCTGCCAGGATCCCCTTGCAAAGCGGCCGTCCATGACCGCGCCCCAGCCCGTGAGGGAGGCGTCTGTCGAAATAACCAGCCGGCGACAAGACCCTCCCAGCACGGGCCCCTGGGACAGGAACCAAGTTTCCTTCCAAACTGATAGGGAACGAAGACACTTGCGCGTAACCCAAATCAGACGGAGAGGATTTCCCCTCGGGGAAAAACCCTTGTTCCTTAGCCACCACTGCAGGGGTCTCATGTGCAGCAGTCCAGATGGTATTACGCTGGACGCAGCCGCCAGGAGACCCAACACTCGTTGAAAGTGTTTCATAGTGATGGCGTGGCCTAACTTCACCCCTTTCACGGCAGCCAATATGGTGTCGACACGTGCCGGAGACAATTGTGTCCGCATCGTTGTCGAATCCCATACAACCCCTAGGAACGTAGTCCGTTGGGTGGGCGCCAGCACGCTCTTCTTTGCGTTGAGCCTCAGCCCTAAATGCCGCAGATGAGCCAGAACGACATCTCAATGCCGAACCGCCAACTCTCAAGACTGGGCTAGGATGAGCCAGTCGTCGATGAAGTTGAAATCCGGATGCCCTGGAGCCTCAGCGGGGCCAGTGCTGCATCCATACACTTGGTGAATGTGCGAGGGGAAGTGCCAGGCCGAATGGAAGAACCCGATACTGGTAAGCCACACCCCCGAAGGCAAACCTCAGGAACTTCCTGTGAGAAGGACGGATGGAGACCTGGAAATAGGCGTCCTTTAGATCTATCGTGACGAACCAATCCTCAGATTGGATGTGCGTCACGGTGGCGGGGATGATGAGCATCTTTAACCTGAATCTCCTCAGAGACCGGTTAGAACCCGCAGATCCAAAATAGGGCACGCAGCCCTCCGTCCTTCTTGGGGACTATGAAGTATCGGCTGTAGAACCGGCGTCTCTGTCTGGGGGGGAGACACGTTCCACGGCCCCTTTCCTCAGCAGAGTACGAACTTCCTGTCCCAACACCGGACCTTGCTCCGGGCGGACCACAGTCCAAACCACCCCCTCTCTTCTGTTGAATTTGGAGGGCGGGTTTGAACTGTAGTCGATACCCATCTATGGCAGTGCGCAGGACCCACGGAGAAATGTTCGTCAGGCTCCGCCAAGCCTCTGCAAAGTCTGCCAACGGAACCAGCCCCTCGGGGCTGGTGGTCGGTGTCTCGTGTGATCTTCTGGTGGACCCCTGAAGCCCCAGAACAGCAGGGGGGAGCCGCCGAAGATCCACGGTGAGTGAGTCGGTGCACCGCCTGACTGCAGACCCTCGGGGCAGGCAGTACAGCGTGGACTCGATGGTGGCAGGTGCGTCCTGAACGTGTAAACGGCGGGATAACATCACCTGTTGCCACGGCGGAGGGGACCTCGGTCGGCCTCCGGGGGGGGTGGGGGGGGTGCGGGAGGGGAGAAAGACTCCCCTACCCCGGTCTTCCCTGAGCTCTGTCGGGACTGGATGACGGTCCTCAGATCATGTCTCTCAGACGGCTGAGGGTGAGAGCGCCGTCTCGCTGCCCCAGCTCCTCGGGGGGGCCCCTGAGAAGCGACACTCTGCTTCCTCTCCTCTCCGTAGGAGCTCGTAGAGGGAAGGGACCTACGCCTGGCAGCCTCAGCTGCCTTGGGTCCAGACCAGCGAGGGAGGTACTGGCGGAACGCTTCGCCCTGCGTCTCTAACGCTCCGTGGTTCTGCGAAGCTCCACCAGATCTTCCTCAGAGGGACCCCCCCCCTCTGAACCATCTCCTGTAGCAGGTCGGCTTGGTAGGCTTGAAGCACCGCCATGGTGTGCAAGCTCGCACCTGCCTGGCCCGCTGCCATGTACGCCTTCCCCACGAGCGTGGATGTGGTGCGACATGGTTTGGATGGTAACGCCGGCTTCTCCAGGGAGGACGCAAGTCGAGGGGAGAGATAGCTCACAAGCGCATCCTCCACCAGAGGCATCCTCCCATAACCACGGTCCCTAACCCCCATCACATTACTGTAGTTCAGTGATCGGGGTGTGGAAAGCCATGTAGAGAAGGGTCTGCCCCATAATTACTCAGTTCATCATGTAAATCAGGAAAGAATGGCAGAGACCGGCGTGGAGGTGGCGTGTGGTGCTTAAGAAACCTTTCATCCAGCTTACCACTAGCCTGTGGTGTCTGCTCCTCCTGTGGCCAGTTGATGTTGAGCTTAGCCACGGCTCTAGTCACCACCTCCAGCAGCACGTCATAGTCGGGCGCCGCCAGATGACCACTACGTCCACTACGCTGAGCACGTCCGCCTCCTCGGAGTCGCATTGCTGCAGCGTCTCCGGATCCAAACTGCGAGCAGGAGAAGCCGAGAACGGGCTCCCGAACGAGGAAAGGAAGCGTCGGAGCCAGCGGATGAAGGTCGGGAAAAAGCCTCAGCCGTCCCGAAATCCTCCGACAGATCACGCTGTGAACCCACGAGTGAAGCCGCCGGGCCGCCTCAGCGGCCGCAGGGCCCATGCCATGGGAAGAACACATCCGGTCATCCTCGGAAAAGAGAGCCATGCTGTACCTCAGTACCCGCACGGAAAGGGCTTCGCAACGGGCGCAGGCAGCCCCCTCGAGAGCTGCCCGGGCGTGCTCCATCCCCAAACATGAGACACACATCTCATGAGAATCTCCATCCGTGATGTACCGAGGGCAAGGAAAAAAACACACCTTCTGTACATCTGGTTGCCGGACATGCTGGTAGACTTCTTCTTCAGGTAAGACACACTGCTTGTAGGACTGGAGCTTTCTTCAAACAACATACAGAGCGCCTGCTGAATAGAAAAAAGCTAATGATGAGTGTGTACAGGTGTGCTTTATACTCCTCCGGTTATTCCGTCACACCTTACCGTTCTAGCAACAAGCCAATAGGATTAGAGTGATTTCATTCACGTTCAGACCTGCTTCGCCTAGAGGCGTTCCCATAGTGTCGTAACCGACACAGTTCGAGTTCCCTCGAAGGGGAACTGTGGACACATGAGCTATTTAAAGTGCAGCTGGGGTTGATTGAAGACTCTTGATTGGTAGGTCCAGTCAGATCACAGCCACACCAATCACTGACGCCAGTGAACAGCAACCAGGAAGAAGGCGTTCGCAGCTCCAGAGGGACATATCCTCGACGGAGATTCACACAGATTGATGTGCATAACCGACAGATTCACTCATAGGAACATCACAATTAATATACACTAAAGAGGGGGCAGATGAGGTGGCAAAGAAGGAGGTGCAGGAGGAAAGAGTTCAAATTAATTTACAGTATGGGTCACCAGATTACACAGAAATAATAAATAGGTAAAATAAATGTTGCAAAATGAAAGGAAGGGGAGAATATCTATCAGTACAAAGAATTGGAAAATGGAAAATGTGCTTTTAGATGTAAGAAAAGAGATGCAGTAATTTTATCTAGATTCAAATCCAGGCTGGCTCTGATTGGTAAACATCCTGATGGAAAATGTGAATGTGTAGACAAGGAAACGGTGACGCATGTAATGGCTCATAGCAGAAAGTACTCTTGGCAAAGGAGGAAATTGTTCAGAGACCTGGGAGCAACTGGAGAAACTATATTTAGCCTACGCACTCTACTTAATTTGGAAAGTTGGAGCAAAATGAAGAAACTGATCAAGTACCTACATAAAATGTGATTATGCCAAAGGATATAGGAAATCACCATTAACTAAGATGTGAATAACTAATAATGAAGAGTGGAGGGCAGCAATACGCTAAAGATGCATCTAGTCTGCCGAATACAAGAAGAGGAAGAAGTGAAGTAGACCCAAAGATCCTCAAAAGCGAGACATAATGCTGTGAGCCAAAGAAATTCAGGAACAAATGAGAAATGGAGTAATTGAGATTTATCAATCTGGAAAAGGTTATTAAGCCATTTCTAAAGCTTTTGGATTCCAGTGAACTACAGTGAGAGCTATGATCCACAAATGGCGAAAACACGAATAGTGGAGAACCTTCCCAGGAATAGCCGGCCGACCAAAATTACCCCAAGTGCAGCGACGACTCATCCAAGAGGTCATAAAAAACCCACAACAACATTCAAAGAACTGCAGGCTTCAGTTAAGGTCAGTGTTCATGACTCCACCATAAGAAAGAGACTGGGCTAATAGCCCGCATGGCAGAGTTCCACGATGAAAACCACTGCTGAGCAAAAAGATCATCAATGCTCGCCTCAGTTTTGCCAGAAAATATCTTGATGATCCCCAAGACTAGACAAAGGCTAAACTTTTTGGAAGGTGTGTGTCCCATTACATCTGGCGTAAAAGTAACAGAATTTCAGAAAAGGAACATCATACCAACAGTAAAATATGGTGGTGGTAGTGTGATGTTCTGGGTCTGTTTTGCTGCTTCAGGACCTGGAAGACTTGCTGTGGTAAATGGAACCATGAATTCTTCTGTCTGCTGATTTTTTGACAGACAGAAATCTGTTCGTGACCTCAAGCTGAAGCACACCTGGATTCTGCAGCAGGACAATGATCCAAAACACTCCAGCAAGTCCACCTCTGAATGGCTTAAGAAAAACAAAATGAAGACTTTGGTGTGGCCAACTCAAAATCCTGATCAGAATCCGATTGAGATGTTGTGGCATGATCTTCAAAAAGCGGTTTGGGCTCGAAAACCCTCCAATGTGGCTGAATTACAACAATTCTGCAAAGATGAGTGAGCCAAAATTCCTCCACAGTGCTGCAAAAGACTCATTTGCCATTGTCGTAAATGCTTGATTGCAGTTGTTGCTGCTAAGGGTGGCCAAACCAGTTATTAGGTCTAGGGGGCACTTTTTCACACAGGGCCATGTAGGTTTGGATTTTTTGCCCCCCTTAATAAAAATCTTCATTTAAAAACTGCATTTCGTCTTTACTTTTGTTGTCTTTGGCTAATATTCAATTTGTTTGATCTGAAACAATTCAGTGTAACAAACATGCAAAAATACATCAGACAATTCAATTCAAATTAGCTTTATTGGCAATAAATGAAACAGTAAAGTGTGTGTGTGTATATATATATATATATATATATACATACACACAGTGGGTACGGAAAGTATTCAGACCCCTTAAATTTTTCACTCTTTGTTTCATTGCAGCCATTTTCCAAAAATCAAAAAAGTTCATTTTATTTCTCAGTAATGTACACTCAGCACCCCATCTTGACAGAAAAAAACAGAAATGTAGAAATTTTTG